ATGATATATAATATGATATATGATGTAATATATAATATGGTAGAATATAATATATAGTATAGTATAAGTATAATATACAATAGCCACACGTCATATCTCTAGAGTCAATAAAATCTATCAAAAGGGTGACGTTCATGGGTGGTTTCTGTCTGGCTGAGAAACAGTTGATGCACACACAGGTACTGCAGGAAATGTTTTGAATGGGCTTCAAATGTAGCTGAATGCCTTGTGCCCAGTAAGCTTACTGTAACTACAAGTGGATTCTTTGCTTAATCAGTCCTTAAAACAAAAATCCTTGACATTTTCCGCATCAGGCTCTGGTTGTGCTTTTTGAAGGGGGAAAGGGGATTAAAAAAAACCTTCAAAAATTGAACTTTCAGTTTCAGCTGTGCATACCTGCAATCATTTGTGAGGCTGTTAGTAAGCACAAGCAGAGAACCGCAGATTTTTGATACACTGAGCGCAGTTTCTGTGCTGGCTTAGGCAATCTAAAATCTAAATTTGAGAAGAAACTTCTTCTCAGTGAGGGTGCCAGAGCCCTGGCCCAGGCTGCCCAGAGAGGTTGTGGAGTCTCCTTCTCTGCAGACATTCAAAACCCGCCTGGACGCCTTCCTGTGCAACCTCATCTGGGTGTTCCTGCTCCGGCAGGGGGATTGGACTGGATGAGCTTTGGAGGTCCCTTCCAATCCCTGACGTTCTGTGATTCTGTGAATCTGTGTCAATATTTCACGTTTGCTGCCCTCAATCCCCAGACTCCACGGAGGAGAGCAGCTTACACAAGGACCTCCTGACTTCGATGCTGATCCTGCTCTTGGTCTTCATCATCTTCATCCTGCTGGCCGGGTACTTTTTCAGGTAGGTGTGTGCGGAGCTGCATCTGCAGAGCTGGCTGGGTTTATGTTTCGATATGATCTAACGAGGAAATGAGAATAAACACGTGCGGTGACGAGGAGGGAGCGCAGAGGAGGGCGCCGCAGTGGTGGTGGCTGTCGCTGCGAGGATGAACAGAAAGAGCTTCTCCAGAATCACATGGTTGGTTTGGGAAAAGGGCTTCTTACCTTTCAGCATAGCTCCTCGGATTAATGGTGTGCATGTATTTCAGGTTCAGGAGGCACAGGAAAGCTGTTGTGAACTCCGGGGACAAAAAGATGCCAAATGGGATCTTAGAAGAGCAAGGTATGGGGATCCACTGTGTGGATGCACAGGCTCGTTCGCTGATTAAGAATCCAGTGACTCAGTTATGTTTGCTTTTTATTCATAATACAAGTTACAGGATTGATAAAGAGAAAATAGTTTTAAAAAATAAGTCCACATTTAACTACGTCTATGTGTAACTTGACCTTTCAGTTGGTTTTACACCATTTTCACTTCAGGTCGTGATACAACCAGTATTTCTTAGTGAATGTTTCTCGTGCTCTTTCTATACCTTTTATTAGGATGCCAGCTGAAAGCCAGGTTTCTGCCACTGTGATCTTTGCGTTTAGAGAGAGGATTGCAGTATTTCTTCTTAAAAGGAGGGGGAAAAAGGGTCCTTAACTCTTTGTGAAGGCTGCTTCCTGAATGTAAAGAGAAACAAACACAAGGGGATGAAACAGGGCAGTCGTGTAAGCCAGCGCCACTGAAATAAAACACTCTCAGGAGTTGAAAATGTTAAAAATGTGGCTTTTTGAATGTGCTGGGTTTGTCTGTAAGGAGGGGAACGTTTCAGGTGGGTCGCTCTGTGGGGTTCAGCGCAACCCCAGCAAACCAGGAGGAGGTGTTTGCTTCTTGCTCGTAAATTATTTTAGCCGAAAACATGGTGATAAGAAGAAATCTCATCTTGGTGGCAGTTCCACATCGCTGTGTGCGCACTGAAGAGCGGGTTAACAAACACGGAGGGAAAGTCAAACCTCTAAAAATACCCGGCAGCTTCCTGTTAGACTGGGGCTGTCACGCAGGAACCCAGCACCGGGTGCTGCCCTGGGGCGATGCGTGGTTAATGCAGCCCCAGAGCTTTAGTTTGGGAGGGGAAATCACCCCATCAGAAGTATAATTTAAATAATAATAATTTAAAGAATGATAATAATTGTTGTTGTTGTTATTATTTCCCCTTCCCAACTGAAATAACCGAGCAGCATCTTTGGTGATGGATGCTAAAAGCTGGCCCTGCAGTCACTACCGTGGTGCAGAGCAGCACTGGTACGCTCTCCATTAGCAGATGGAGCCTTTTCTAAATAAAACCTGGTCATATTTTAATCATTAATTTCATAAATAATGGTTCTGCTTGAATTTATGATGTCCTCAAAGCAGCTGCTTGGCCTGTGGTTTTGGTTTTCTGCTTCATTTCAACCAGCGTTGCCACCGATTGAAGTCTCACACGAGAAGTGTGTTTTCCCAGCGTAAAAAGTAATTAGCAGTTGGCAATAGCTTGTTATCTGTCGCTCCAGACGTGCCTTTAATGCGGACTTTCCTTGTACTGACAGAACAGCAACGCGTGATGCTGCTCAGTCGGTCTCCCTCGGGCCCCAAGAAGTATTTCCCTATCCCAGTAGAAAATCTGGAAGAGGAAATCCGGATGCGATCGGCAGACGAGGGGAAGCTCTTCCGGGAGGAGTTCAATGTAAGCGCTCACAGGTGGAGCGGGCAAAAAGTTTCATTATTAATTGATATTAATTTAAACACGTTTAAATGTTTTAATTAGCAATTAGCAACGTCTGGGGCACGATGGTGGTGTCTCAGAGCCTCAGCGTTCAGCCTCAGGGCTATGTGGTAACCCTTTATCTGGGCAAAATCTGGAATAATAACTGCTTTGTGAGATGGTGATGCCAAATTGGGGATATCTGAGCTGTTTGCCACTCGCTGACATTTCAAGAAGTTCTTTAGTGTTTGCCTGAAAGCTGGAGGAGAGGAAAATCGAACATGAATCTCTTTAGCACTGATTTTCTGGGTGGTGCTGGAGGGGTTTTTAGGAGTCTGAGTGTTTCACCTCTATGGGAAGTACCTTGAGGAGAAGATGCAGTGTGGCCTTTAACATTACCCTGGTCAGGTTTGACCATTTTGGGAGTTTTTTTGGCAGTTTGACCTTTTATTCTTTGTTGTCATCCCATCACTTCCCCATTTCCAGTGCCCCGTGCCCTGGCACCGATGTTTCTCTGAACTCTCTCAACTTTAAGGGTTTTCTGTCCATAACCCAAGCTCCAGTCATGTGTGGTCCTGTAAATGAGTTTTAACTGGAGTCTGTGCGAGCTGCAGAGCCGGTTCCTATGGAGAAACCCAACGCGATGACTCTGCTCTCACACGTCTGCATTCGGGGACCTTTTCCATATGTTTTATTATTTCTTTACATTTCCCTTCCCAGCAGAAGCCAAACTGCACAGAGCAGTTGCTTAAATGTCAAATACGGAGCTGTCGAAGCCGATGCACGCATGCATTAGTCAGTCTGTTGAGTTGCCTTCTTAATTGGTGGCATATTTATATCTAAAAGCGATGATGTATTTAAAATGGATAATTTCTTTGCCTTATCAGAGAGGGAGCATTGGGGAGATATTCATCCAAGTCAACCAAATGAATGTGAAAACTCCTTTGACAAGAAGCACGCTTGTGAATTTTGGCTCTCCAGATCAATTTGTGCTGCAGTTGGGAGCAAAAGGAGCCATCTCTTTTTATTTGTTAAAACCTGCTTTGCTTGGATCGTTTTCCACACCGTGCAAGTTTGTCTGCACACACAGACACTGAGTCTGAAAGCTGGGGTCCAGTCCCTGTAAATAAGCAGCCTGAGCAGGGTCAAAGGTGGCGGCACAGACAATCTGATGCCTTAGGTGGTTTTTGTCCCTCCTGTGCCTGCTTGAGTGGATTTATGAGCTGTTTGTTCTAGGAGAAGAAAGGGTGCAAGACAGCTGCAAATCAGAGTGATTGATGTTGTAGCATAAATCATCTGACACACACAAGGCTGGTGTTGCAGCACGGGAAGGGAAGGGGCTGAGAAATCGAGACCTTTCAGCACAAAGACGTCTGGGTGATAGCTTCACCCTCAGAGCGTCCCCAGCAGTCGGCTCCATCCTCCCACCTGGACCTGCCCCTTGAAGCCAGAGCTGCCCCATCCTGCAGGTTGGGATGGGTCTGAAGTTGTCCCCTTTGTGCAAGCTGTTGGGTGCTGTGATGGACCCTGAGTGCATCCCGGGACTGAGGATGCTCAGCTGGTGGGGAGATGCTCAGTGCTTTTCAGGCAAGAAGAAAACAAAGCAAATGCTGACGGATGAAGACACAGAGTGGATTGAAGGGATTTTGGAGGATGGTTCCCTTGGATTTATGTGCCTAACAGTGTTCTTCAGTACAGTTTTATCCTTAAAGTTTCAGTGACCCCTAAGAACCTTGCCCTTGTTGCACTTGTACACAAACCAAGGCAGTGGAGGCTCCTCTACCCTCAGTTGCTTCATTATTTTATTATTGGATTTCTTTCACAGAGCACTAGGAATAGCGTGTCCTAAACAGGAAAAAGAAGAAAACAACACCATTTTCCTTTCCGTATGGGCCCATACCTCTATTTATCATCCATACCACAGGATGAGCTGGATGTTTGAAGTTTGTGATGGCTGGTTTATGGCCTTGATTTTTCAGATGAATGTCTGAAGACCTTCCTGTAATTAACAGCTTCTGAAATTTGAATTGTGACTTGATTAAGACATCCCTGTGGGTCATCCAGTGGGAAAAGAAACAGAAATGGTGCTGATGCTGGGGTAGGTTGAGCCCCTCAGAAGCTCTGGAGAGACCTCGGGGTCCCTGCAGAGCGGGCGCAGGAAGGGCTGCGGTGGCAGCAGATGACCCCGTGCCACCAGGACTCGTCAGCCCCTCGTGATGCTGATGGAGGGGACGCGATGGAGCACAGGCTCCGTGAATCACATCCTCCCCATTGGGAGGGGTGTGAGCAGCACAGCGGGCTGTGTCCCTGCACCGGGGTTCATAACCCGCTTCATGCAGGGCAGCAGGACACAAGGAGGTTCCTCAGGAGACCTTGGGGATGCAAAGAGGACTTTTGCCAGAGATCATCGCTTCTCCTGCGTTTTTCGCGTGGTGTTTTTCCAGAACTTCCATGACTTTATTGGGAATTTGTTGACCTTTGAAGACTGAAGGAATCGTGTTTGAAGTGCTGCTTGCTTCATTTTGTGCAAAACGGCGATGAAGTTGCTGTGTTTTCCAACTTTTCTTTTAATTAGCAAAACCGTGGCCTTCATTCGAATAAGGAACTAAGCCCTAAGTTTGCTAAAAGCAGCTTGCTTTTTCAGTGTAACCTTCCCTCTCCTTTTACTTACATTCACAAGTTTAAGTGATATTTTAAAAAACCCAACCGAACCCACAAGTGCACATTGCCATTTCCTCTGTGGTGGTGGTGAAGCCCTCCCCGCACCCCCTTTTCGTGTCGCCCTGACGACACAGATTGCTGCTTTTAAAGGGAAACTCCAACCCTGCTCGGTGCCAGGCGAGCGGGGACGGCTGCTTGAAACTCTTGTTATTTTACTTCCCTTCCCCTGCGTGACTCAGAGGGCAGTGGGAGGTAGAGGAAGGGTGGGAGAAGGTGGTTGTGTGTTCCCAAACCACTGGGATTTTACCTCCAGCATGCTAGCGCTGGGTTTTGAGAGTTTAAGACAAGAAATTTGATGACTCTGGGTTCTCGTTTACGCTGTTGGCAATGAGGGGGCAGCTAAAAATCACCAAACCACAGCATGGTTTGGGTTGGAAGGGACCTTTAAAGCTCCTCCAGTCCAACCCTGCAGTGAGCAGGGACATTGGTACCAGGTCAGGTTGCTCACAGCCCCATCAAACCTGGCCTTGCATATCTCCAGGGATGGAGCCTGCACCACCTCTGTGCAACCTGTGCCACTGATCGACCACCTCATGGGGAAGAGCTTTTTCCTCATAGCCAGCCTAAATCTGCCCTTTCCTAGTTTAAAACCATTTAATGGTGGTTAATGCAGAGCGGGAGCCTCGTGCTGTGTCTCTTGATGAGCTGTGGCTTTTCCAACCCATCCCTTGGCCGTGGTGGTGACAGCTCAGCAGCTTCTCTGGGGCTCCACCTGGGGCACCTCCTTGCATTCATCTTCCTCCCCATTTCTTCCTTCCATTTGATTTCTCTACAAGACTGGGTATTTTTTAAGCTCGACCAAATTTATCCCCACTCTTAGCTTTCACAGAATTTGACCTCTGCTCGTACAGCGACTTTCAACATTAAAAAATCAGGATTTATTCTATTTCTTCCTCTGTTTCTGCCGGCATTGAGCCTTCACCTGCGGGTCTCAGCAAGATGTTTGGTATTTAATGTTCTTAGCAGCGAGTGATTAACAATCAAACCCTATTTGTGCTATTGAGCTGACTGCTATCGCTAAAAGTAGCTGTCGGAGGGGTCGTGGGGCTGTGCATCACCACAGCAGATGGCAGCGGCTCAGGGCTTAACCGCTTGCTAAATAACTCTGATCTCTGGAGAAAAAGTGACTTTATTTTCCCAAAAAACTGCTGAACTCGTTTTCTGCAGTGAAATCTGCCGGGACGTGGTTTCCTGTTTTAGAATAATGAAAGTTATTGCAGATTTAAAAATAAAAAGAGTTTAATTCTGTTGGGTGCAAGGCAATGTGCATAAAAAGCTGATTTTTCCCTAAGCCATTTGCAGTGAAGCATTAGGTATTTTCTAAAAAACTGACTTTTGTACCTTTTCTTTTTCAGTCGTTAACACCTGGATATGTGCAGGGAACGTTTGAAATGGCAAATAAGGAAGAAAACAGGGAGAAAAACAGATATCCCAACATCCTGCCATGTAAGACATTGCCTTTTCTTTTAAATAGGGTGATTAACTGTGGCGCTGAGCGTGCCGGTAGTAGTGTTCATTTGCTGAAAATATTCTATGAATAAGATTTCACTGGTCAAAAATGTTCTTCATGTATTGTTCGTGCAAAGCTGTTTTGCTGTGGCACGTCTATAGGATTAATCACCACGTTGGGGGTTTTTCTGTGGGGTTTATTGGGTGCTGCACTAGAAAACCTTCACTCTCATGGGGTTCTGCCAATTTATACAACATCAAATTGGGTGCTTTAGGCCCTCAAGTGAATTTTGGGCTGGTTTGGGAAGCGTGTGGCCTCCCAATTGCCAGGAGTTAACATATTTCAGATGGATTAACGTGCAAACGTGCTTGTAATGTGTGTTCTTCCAGATGATCATTCCCGAGTGGTTTTGACCCAAATCGATGGAGTCTCACCTTCAGACTACATTAACGCCTCCTATATAGATGTGAGTTGTCACTTGTCCGCTGTAGGCCAAGCTGCTGACTTTACTGTGAATTAAATAAGTATTTTTCTGCTGGCATACGCTGGCATTTCAGCTCCTTAACCGCTGTGATATCTATTTCCGCAGGGTTATAAAGAAAAGAATAAATTTATAGCAGCCCAAGGTAATTTCTTCTCACTTCTCTATTCTGTACATCGTGTGGCTGAACGTGATTTAATTTTATCTGTGTTTTAAAGGTTATTTTTGGCTGCAGATGGTGGCCAAGTGTGAGGTGGGATTTAGAGGTTACAGTTTAAATGAACTTAAAGTGAGTGTGAGGTAACCCAATGCCGTTAGACTCGCAGATACTGCTCTGAAGAGGTTTGTCTTCCCCCCCTCACCCCCGCTTTACTTCTCTCTTCATTTTATTTTTTATCTTAATCCACTTTCTGGGGGTTTGCGAAATGAAGTCTCCCGATAACAGTCTGATGCAGAAATTAGCATTTTTCACATGAGTTCTTACGCTGCATTTAGTCACAGATTTGGGGGACTTTGGCGCCGTCATCCCAGATGCAAAGCAAGAGGTGCCCCTGTTCTTCCAAAAATGCTCCACGATGAGCAGCTCCGTGGTGGTCGTTCACTGTGGTCATGGGTGACATTGGACCTTGGCATGGAGGAAAACTGCAGAGTAGAGATCCTGAGTGCTTAAAAGAGCATCAATAATATTAGCATTAATTGAGCCAGCAATGTGCCCCTCAGCCAAGAAGGCCAACGCCATCCTGGGCTGGATGAGAAGGGGTGGTTGTAGGGCAGAGAGGTTCTCCTGCCCCTCTGCTCTGCCCTGCTCACACCACAGCTGCAATCTTGTGTCCAGTGCTGGGCCCTCAGCTCCAGAAGGACAGGAACTGCTTGAAAGAGTCCAGCAGGACCACAAAGATGCTGGAGGGAGTGGAGCATCTCCTGCTGAGGAGCAGCTGAGGGAGCTGGGGCTCTTGAGCTTGGAGCAGAGGAGACTGAGGGGAGACCTCATTCCTGGGGATCCATTTGGAAAGGGCAGTGTCAGGAGGAAGGAGCCAGGCTCTGCTCTGGGATGTCCAATGCCAGGACAAGGGGCAATGGTCCCAAGCTGGAGCACAGGAGGTTCAAGCTGAAGATGAGGCCAAAGTTTGTGAGTGTGAGGGTTCTGGAGCATGGCCCAGGCTGCCCAGAGAGGTTGTGGAGTCTCCTTGTGTGGAGACACCCAAAGCCCTGGCCGTGTTCCTGTGTGACTGCTCTGGTGCTCCTGCTGTGGCAGGGGTTGCACTGGGGGAGCTTTCCAGGTCCCTTCCAACTCCTCACATTCTGTGTGAATATCACAAGAGAGGAGATACCTGCTAGAGGTGTAGATTTGAGTGTATATGATTGTGTAACAGAAAATGTGATTATTTTTTTAATAAATGTGCGTTGTATTCAAAACCTGAGCAGTCTGTGGTAAGCACAGACCCGGGTGGGCGCCCGTTGCAGGGCAGGGGTGCGGATGCAGATGGTCTCCATCGCCCCTCTGAGCAGGGCTGTGTTCTGCCTGCAGGACCGAAGCAGGAAACGGTGCACGATTTCTGGCGGATGATATGGGAGCAGAAGTCGGCCGTGATCGTCATGTTAACCAACCTGAAGGAAAGGAAAGAGGTAAAGAGCTTTCGGTTTGCTCCGGGATGTCTCTGCGAGAGCTCCAAAAGCGGCGGTGGCCGCTCGGTGTCTGGCCACTCTCATTGCTGACCACTTCCTTCTCCAGTCCCTGTTTGCACATCGCAGTTTCTGCTCGTAGATGTGGCTTTAATGTCCAAAATGCAAATTTCTATGCGTAAATCTCAAGGAAAAAATTCAGATACTTTGTGCATGTCCTGCTCCTTCTGTTATGGGACACTTTCTGCGTGCACTGGCTGAACGCTGAGACGCGCACAGCAAAAACTTGAATGAAACACTTAACTTCAGTCCTGCTTTGGAGACTGGAGTTAAAGCACGAAGGAAATTCACCATCAGAAACAGAAAAGATGCTTTGGAATTACTTTCTTTTCCTCTGGGGGACAGTTTGCCACACTAAGCGTGCTATGTCCTTATTTGAAATACGTGTAAAGTCCTCAAAAACACATGCTGAGAGAAAAGCCTTGTTTTCCCAGTGGTTGTTTCCACACCAGATGAGGCAGAAGCCACTCAGTGCCAGAGATCTGGGGTTTTCCTGCATCCCAAGGGTGACTTCTCCTGCCAGTGGGAAATGAGGGAGAGAAGCAGCCGCAGTTGGCCTTGGGAAAGAGATGAGGACACACTTGTACTGTATTGCAGGGTGAAAGTTGGCTTTCCTACCTATTTTGTGCATTTTTTACAATAAAAAAGAGATAATTCTGATACTATCAGCTCAGCAGAGGTGTGAGGACAGGCCTTCCTTGTCCGCCTCTTCACAGGGGTTACTTCTGCTTTATTTTGCTGCACTTTAATGCTGCTTGATGAAGCTGAAGCAGCAAAGGCAGCCCATGAGGAGAGCCCCTTCCCGATATGAGAAGCCAGACCTGTTGAATCGGGATGTTCCTGGTGACCCCGGATGAGGACCACCTTGTGTTTCTCACTGACTACATCAGAAGCTGAAAAATAAAGTCAGGACATCACGGTCCCCACAGTTAGACACCTCCTGGTTAAAAAAAGTAATAAAAAAAGAGCTGCTTAGGTCTGGCTAGGTTAGAAAACAGCTTCAAAGCTCTTCTCACCTTCTCTGGATAAGTTTTAGCATCAACAGCACTTGCAAAGTGTCAAAGCTGTATCGGGCCAGATGAGAAACTGCCTTCTCGTGTGCATGCTGGTGTGCAGTGTTTTCAGATGACTTCACTGTTTTATGATTAACCAACAAAGAAAGCAGATGCAGTGTTATAAAACCTGCTGTGTGTTTGGACAGGAAAAATGTTACCAGTATTGGCCTGACCAGGGCTGCTGGACTTACGGGAATATCCGGGTGTCCGTGGAAGATTGCATCGTGCTGGTGGACTACACCATCCGCAAGTTCTGCGTCCAGTCGGTAAGGAACCACTGTGCCTTCGTCTTAATTTGTAAAGCTGATTGTTACAGTGTCAAATATTTGATTAAGAGATGTCCAGGAAATGAATTAAAGGTATTTGCAGACTGAGAAAGGAGTGGGACTTCTCCTAGGCAAGCTCTGCAGGTCTGTGCATGCAGCATCCACTGCAGTTTAATGGCCTGCAAGAGGTTTTGCTCCTTTTCCTTCTGCTCTTGGCCAGGGACCACAGAAAGTCCTCCCTTGTGACTGTCACTCACAGGAGCAGTGTGGTGACCTCAGAGAAATACATGGGTGACTTTGGGGATGTTTGATATTTGGAGCAGGCTATGGATATCGGTAGATGGATGTCAGACAGCATTTGGGCTGGTTTCTGTTGTATCCTTGGGCTCCAACAAAAGTTAAAGCTTTAGATCCCAGGAGAGGCGCTGGGAATGACTTTGCTCTTGTTCACGCTGTGTAGCTTTGCAAGGGAGCAAGATCCTCACCCGCTAAAGTGAGGGCTGCTGTGTTTGTAATTCAGTGACCATCCAGTTCAGGTTGAAGACCGAAGACATATGGGTTGTAGAGAGTGAGAAACCACGTGTGGCTGTGTAGGATTACATGGAGAGCTCAAAACCCCTCAAAACATGCATGGATTCGTTCAGCTTCAGTTACAGATTCTGAACAGTGAAGCAGTCTCTGCTGATTTCACATAAACAGATCTCTTTGGTGTGACTTGTGATCGCTGATAAGGCATCGCTGATAAAAACACTCAGAGAAACTGTGCTCAGAAGGCAGAACAGGAAAGAGGGAGCGGTACAGAGATGTACACTTAAGCTGAAGGGCTGGAAAGTTTATGGGTGGTCCTGACTACCTCCTTAAGATGTATCAGGAGGATTTTATTATCTATTGATG